GCAGCAAGACACGTCAGCTCTATCGATGCAACGGTAGAAGCAGCCGATCAGTTTACACAACGCGTGCTACAGCACGTAGAAACATATGATGAAGAGGAACCGTGGAGCACGGAGTTTCTACCAGTCGTGGAAGTCCTATTCAGGAACTTAAGTGGCGACGAAACAACTGTCATACATGACAATCAAACGGTAACTATGCCTCTTACGAAATACACAGACCTCCTCAGAATCGCACAATCATTGCGAAGCTCTATCCAGAGAGACAAGGAGGAAAGGAAGGAACATCTTGACACCATCCAAGATACTCTATCCAGAGTGGAAATCCTTCTAACAGCACTGAAGGACTCAAGGACAGTCTTTAACCAATTGGTCCATTCCTCACTAGAGATAGAGCGAAGAAATAACAATCTCAAAAATGTCCTCGAGACACTCTTTGACGACCAAAGCTCTGAGGAAGACCAGTCAGAATCTGACAATGAAGAAGTCCTAACTCCTTCTGCAGCACAGTACTGGAATAGCCTTTATGCCCACGCCTTATCTCCTTCAGGAGATGAAAGTGAAAGATCATGGGCGTCCTCAGACGGACAGCTTGAAAGAAGAAGGGCTGAACGGGCAAAGGCTAAGCAGCCACAACCGGCTAAAGCCAAGGCAACTCCAGTCAGCTCACAAGCTGCGCCAAAGGCCGAGCCAAAGGCGACAATATCCAACCATGGATATGATACTGCAGACGCCGCCTTCACCAGGGCTGAGAACAGACTACTCGGAATTTACTCAAGTTCCGAAGAAGATCACTCAGACCCGGATGAGCCACATCCGAACGTCTACGCTCGAGCCTATGATCCAAACCTGGATCCAAATCTGAGATAAGAAAATCTCGGAGTTTCACAACAGTGACTCACAAAGCTCTAACAAGAGCAAAGTGAAGGGCTGCATAATTCGATGTAGAAAATATCACCAGACATGATCTTGTACAGACGATCTCTCTGACCAACATGCATGAGTGTGTGCAAAAGGAGTGTCCTCAGCAGTGTACTTCAGTGCTATACCTAGCTTAAATAATATGCTGTTTTCATCATGAGTCCAGACTCCGCAACTGTGACAGTGGGCATAATAGTATATGTGTGAATGTGCGGCCATGCTTCCGGTAAAAGAAAATTAGTGTCTGTTTGAAACCATAAACCTCTAAAGGGGTAGCTCTAACAGGTACCTACAGCAATGGCTGCATGCTCATACATATACATTCCGCTGCCCATTGGCTCACAGTGGTTTTACCATATTGAGACAAGACAAGCTCTCCTTGCGTAGCAAGACAAAACAACTACTGTCCGTGTGCAGGGCGCTGCCCTTTGATCCTTAGGGAATAACTGGTCATACACCTCCTAACAAGGAGTATTCCTTGTGGGTGTATCGGCACAGGGGGGGGGGGACAGATGGGTGGAGGGTCCGGCGATTGGGGTTTGGGTTGGTGGTGTGGGGTCGAGCTTGGTGCTTGTGCTTTTGTCCGACTGAGTATGGGGGTGCCAAGCATATCATGCTTCACAACCAAAGCACAAGCAGAACTTGTGCTGCATGGGAAAAGCACATCATGCCTCACAACCAAAGCACAAGCAGAACTTGTGCTGCATGGGAAAAGCACATCAAAGAGTGCTGCATGCATTGTTCCAGGACAAGGGGAAAGGCTTCTTGTGGGAGCTCGGGCAAGAACTGAAACTATGTTGTTGGGTGGAGGAGAATGTAGCTTCAAAGGTGCAATGGCTGATCCCGTGAAGGCTTTCTAAAGGGCTTGGCAAGGGCTGCTTCCAAACAATGTTTACGATACCACCGAAACACACAAGTTGCTCATGAACAACTTTGTTTCCAAACCCCTGAAACCAAGATGCTTATGAACAACTGTGATCCCATAAGTCTAATTCAGAGATGGTCCAGAGCAACTGTCCGGGATAGGGTTTATATAAATTATAAGGGTGGGATCCCCAAGATGTCTATGAGCAACTCTGAAATTAGAGTCTATTCCCAAAGATGCTCATGAGCAACTTGTTGCACCCCTCGCAAAGCTGTCTTTTTTGCTCTGGCCGCCTAATAACATACTGAGGGTCAGCGCCAAACTGGTCGACGTACCGCATGTCCTCCTCCAGGCGGCTCCGGAACGCCGGGTCCCCTCTGAATGCACTCGTGAGGTGGTCCATGCGGCCGAAGTCCTTCGAGAGCCAAGCCGCCGTCATGGCAATGGCTCTCGCCTGCCAGCCGCTCTGAAGCTTTGTGCTCCGTCTCGAGTCCATCCAGGGCTTTGGCAGGGCACTGCTCGAGGATGTCGCCGCCTGACCCTGCTCCCTCATAGCTGGTGCTGGAGGAGGTCTGTTAACCCCCAGCTTCTTGAACTCGTCCTCGGCAGCCACGGCCTCTGCCTTTCTCTTTTTTGGCGGTGGGCCCTTCCACAGCGGTGCTTGCATCGCCTCCACAGGCTCTAAGACAGGAGCCGCCGTCGCCGCCGCCCGGCCGGTCGAAAAAACCTCTGTCTTCCCTCCTGCATCCTCCTGCTTCATCTCGCGGCCAGGCCCCTGAGTCTCTGGACCGACCCATTTGCACAGCAATCGGAATAACACCAGCTGGTGTGCCCATCCTCTGCATGCCAGCTGCACCTGCTGTGCCCATTGCCTGCAAGCCAGCTGCACCTGCTGTGCCCATTGTCTGCAAGCCAGCTGCACCTGCTGTGGCCATCGTCTGCAAGCCAGCACCTGCTGTGGTCATAGGAGCACCAGTCGGCACAGGCCAAGGGAAGCCATAGCCAGCAGGCATAACCAAGCCATGTGTGCCAGGCACCAACGGTGCACATACCGGTGCCACCGGTGCCGCCGCCATCCCAGGTGCAGGTGGAAACGGCGCTTTTGAAGCCGTTGCCATTGCTGCCTCAGACTTAAGGGTTCGTGCAGGGTCGTTTTCTGTTGTGCTTTACTACATAACAGAAAAGCTTTCAACTTCTGCTAGACCAAACAAGAAAGAGTCTGGGCCCACTCCTGCCCACACAGGATCCTCCACACCCAGGCTCCCCTGATTGGCAGTCTCCGCCGCCTGCTCCTGCTTGGGCTGCTCTGATCCTGCAGGGCTCCATGCAGCAAAGGCTGCACATCTGCTCTTCAAGTAATGCACAAAAGCCCTGCCACAAAGCAGGACTGCATGAAACGAATCCAAAGCGCCCAGTCCTCCTTGCATGGCCTTGTCGTCAAACTCGTGAGGGTACGTGGCAGCAGCCCTCTCCCACCACTCTTGGTCCTGCTCGGACAAGGTAGCAAACCAGGATCGCCACTCGGCTTTGCTCCATCCTCGGACCTGCTCGCGGACCCATGCGAGCTCGCCGTCCGTCAAGTCAAGCGGCTCGTAGTACGTGACCTCCACCTCCTCTTCCTCCTCCTCTTCCTTCTTTCTCGACGGCTCAGTTGCCATGATCGCGAGGCACGAGTGGCTCCAAACCTATTTAAATGGTTTGGAGCTTGTAGTTAGACATGGAGATTGCACATGCATGGTCAGAGCTTGGCATGACCAGAGATTCTTCTATCTCACACACAACATGGATTGCATCTCTGGGAACCTACTATTATGCAGGCTGCAGGAGCTCAACCACAACATTTGAAAGTGTTTCCCACAATCCTCTGGTGTTTCCCACATGCATGGAATGGTTCATGCATCTTCTGCTGCATGCTTCTACTGCTTACCTGCCTTGGGGCGGCACGGGTGCACAGAATCATTGACATGCTCCTCATTGCACAATTCAAGTGTCTCTTGCTGGCAAACCGACATGCATCATGAAGCTCTGTCAAGCAGGACTGCATGCGAGATCACATGCAAGGTCTGAGGGAACATGAAAAGCCCTTCGAGAGGACTGCATGCAGAAACACAAAGCAATACATCATCAAGCACCATCCATTCTAGCACATGTACCCTGCTCACGAACCCTACAAGGAAATGGACTTTGTTTCCTTTTCTATGGTATACCAGCGAGACACACCTCCAGCTCAATGAGAATCCTCCTCCTTCTCTTCAGAGGAACATTGCCGTCCAGCTCTACGTCTCCGGTAAACCCGCCTCTCGTCGGGATCCGCATCCTGCAAAGAAGCTTGGCAGTTACCTAGCACCAAAAATAACAGACACATTCATGCAGCTATTACATTGCTAAGAGTCCTCAGTGATCTTGGCGAAAACCATTTCCAAGCTCTCTGACTCCATCAGGATCAACAAATCCATGGTGGACTTGTGCTTGGCTTGAACCCCGATCTGAATGCCGTCCACCATCACATATTCAACATTCGGCTGCACTTTCTGTTTTTTCTTCTTCGATTCCGGAAAGAGTTCATCCGCCCCCGATCCCTTGCCCTCGCTTTTCAAGAAGTTCTGGATTGCCTCCTCCCTGCCATCTTTCAGTTTTTGCAAACCTGGAGAAGCAGTCAGACTTGCTTGCCTAGAACCCAGGAGTAACTTCATCAGCACCCTGTTCGAGGGCTAGATCTTCAGGTACTTGACACCGGAAATCTCGACGATCAACTCGTTGGGCACCACGACCTCACGAGCTTGCCATGTAATCGTCGTGCAAGTGCCGATGCTCACCATGGTGCTTCCAGCAGCAACAAAAGCGCTCAGCTCAAAAGAACAGCTTGAACCCAACAACTGAGTTGTGCTAGATCAAAGCAACAAGTCAGCAAAACACGAGAAATGCAAAAGCTCGGAGGAGCTGCATGACCGGACATGCTTGCTTCAAGCATGCATTCTGCATCACAACTACAACCAACACGAAGCAACAGGCTGGCTGTTGCTGCATGATGCACAAACACATGTTTCCTACAGACAACAACCAAAACGAAGCAACAGGCTGGCTGTTGCTGCATGATGCACAAACACATCTATTCTGCAGAGACAACCAACCCTTCACAGCAGCTGGCGGCAAAAACCCTGGTGGCATGCCAGGTGTATCAAAATCCTGCAGCCGACGTGGCATGGTGCTAGATCGATCAGGTAGCCTTCCTCTTCAAGGAACCCTTCTCCTTCTCCTGCTTCTGCAGCAGCTCCTTCGAGGCTTGCATGAGCATCGTGTGCTTGGCCACCTTCTTGTTGTTGACGAGCATGGGCAATTTCATGCCGGCGATGGTTTTCCACTGCACAACCATGTTGACCTCTTCCTCCGAGGACGTGGTCTTGATCCAGTAGAAGGGCACGATGGTATCAGTCTTCTTCGGCCTTATAAGACATGCATAGCTTTATGATTTAGGCGAAAGCCTCTAAATCCTATTTTTCTTTGCAGTCGGGCTGCTCCCCGAAATCCTTCAACTGCGGAAAAGGAGACAACTGGTACTTGTTGCCATTCCATTCGACCCATAGACTGAGCTTCTGCCCTTCTTTGGCTCTCGTCATGTTCGCCAGAGGAATGAAGCGAAGCTTCTCCTTCGCAAAGCTCTCCGAGGTGTACGCCGCCGTAGGGTGGATGAAATGCAAGCATGAAGAATCGCCGGTGTTCTGGTCTGCGAAGATCTGGAAAAGCTGCTGCTGCCCATCCGCCAAGATCTTCGCATCGTTCAAGACAGCACTGCCACCGTAGGTGAACTTAACGGATTCGTCCGCAGCCAACACACTCGGCACTGGGAGGCGAGTGACCTTCCACTTCTTGAAGTGCTCTGGCGATGTCATAACGATGTCGGGCGAGGCAAACAAGGGGGTGTGCACGAACTTGGCCTCGTCATTCTCGAGCCCAGCGAAAACAAAGATCTTGTCTGGGTAGTCCGCATGCACGTACTTCCCATCCTTCTTCAAGTGCGGGTTCTGCAGCAAAGCTTGCTCCCCTACACTCATGCCACCCAAGAGATTCAGGGGCCGGTCCTCCTCCCGATTCTCATCCGCTTCGCTCCCGCCAGCAGAGCTAGCACCCGATGGGTTCGTGTTCAAAGCTTCGGTAGCGAAGAGCTGGGCCACCTTCTCCTGAGACTCATACATAACCTTCTCCCGACCATACTTCTCCTTCTTAGTGAGGAGCAAAGAAAGTCGCACCGTCATCCGGCCGAGTGCTCGCTGCACTGCTGGGGTTTCACCTGCATCTCGATAGACCTGGTATCCGTGCTCCAGAATCTGCTCAGCTTGAAGGAGGGCTGTCGGAGGTGGGCGCTTTTGAGGCGGTCCAGATCCTGCTTGACAAGCAGACGGGCTGTGCCGTCGACAACTTTCGGGCTTGTCAGCTGACAAGCTAAGAGGGCGGCTCGCAGCAATGGGAACTGAGTCGAGGGCTCCTGCAGATCCCAAGCCGTAATGGCCTTAAAAGTTTCCTCTCCTACTGCAACAGTAAGGGCCAAATCCTTGGCAAAACTTGCCAAGAATGAAATCAAAGGAAAGGGGCTGCCGCCTCCAAATTTTTGGACATAAACTCCTACATGCTCCATATAGTCTTCGCATGCAGGTTTGGATGCCTTGACTGAGTTCACGGCATCCTTCACCGTGGAGCCAGACGTGCACATCAAAGCAACTTGCTGTGCAGCTTCGATTTCTTGGCAGGCTAGGCCTACCGAATGAACCGAATTCAAAACCATCTGGACGAAGGCTGGGAGGTTGGGGGCCATGGCCTCTGCCCGCCAAGAAATCAGGAGCCAGGGCCACCCCTGATTCACTGCATCTCGCATGCACTCATCCTCCAGGCTGAGGCTGCCTCCCGAGTTGGGTCGTTTGCACTTCATCAAGGATGCCTTTAAATAGGCAGTGGTGTGTGAGGAGCTCACCGTCATGGCTCTTTCCGACCCCAAGACCGGTGACAACAGCCCGTTGGACCTCTCACTCAAGTCCGTGTTCGCCCGGATTTGCTCGTTCCGCTTGTCTTCTAGGGGAGAAAGTTCGATCGCGATCGAGTCCGTGAGCAGCGAAGGTCTGAAACCAAGATCCAAAAGCTTTTGTCCTTTGCTATGGACATCCAGCGGATTGAGCATCCTGCCTCCGCGATTGTGAGGATGAACCAGTAGCTCTGCTGGCCTCAAGGTGGTGGTGTAGGCCAGTTGCGATTCTTTCAAGAAGTTGACAAGCCTGTCGAGCTTTCTGTTGGGCTGGACCTCCGTGTTGTCCATGATTCGGGCGATCTCTGCGGCGAGTTTCTCCTCCATGGCCGGGCCTGGGGTCCTTTGAATTTTTCGCCTTGCAAGGGGCCTCCTGATCTGCAAATATGTGCTTTGGATGCACCTATACACAGCCACACTTGATTCCAAGCACATCAAGCTATGCACCGAGGACCCTCCTGGTTTTCTTTTTCATAAACTGCCCGCATGATGCATGATGCCCATCTAATCCATGCCGTTCAAATCAATCCCTTGCCCCTGGCCCTGGCCCTGGGAAAGATTCTGCAAGGCCATGCGGTTCTGCCGAACCGTACAGGATGGCTTGCGCACCCCTAGCCCTGACTTGCACCAGCTACAGCACCAATGGTGAGGACTCGTCGTCATCCTGTCGCACTGTGGCGAGCCTTGACAAGGAACGTTCGTG